AACATATATATAATGATATAAATTATGCTTTTGATATTTCAAAGACATGTTTTTGTTAGTTTCATAAATATTACCAAATGGACTTGTTTGATTTTCTCGAGCTTTATGTTTTATGTAAATTTTATGTAAATACACTCTAGGCTCATGAGATGAGTGTATATATACAATCGGAGTGTCCATAGTGGCAAAGAAGTACCCCATTGTAGACAATCGCAGGTATATTAAATACGTGAATGGTATTAATCGGAGTGTCCCTTAGTGAGTTGCCATTTTCTAGCAACTACATGTATGTTAAATACGTGGGGGAAGCTCTCCCATCTATCGATCAAATACATGGTACTCACATTATATGGATGGCTAGGATTAATTTGCACTTTGTAAATTAAGATGAGTCAAAGTACACTAAGAGTTAGTTTGCAAATGCTTTAAAAAAGCACTTTTTAGCTTTTTGCTTTAAAAAAGCACTTATTTTACCAAACACTACAACTTTTATTGTTCTCGAATTTCGTGTCAAAAGTGCTTTTACTTTTTCTATTACACAAAAAGTACTTATTTTACCAAACACTATCAACTTTTACTTTTCAAAATCATTTTTTTCTCAAACACTATCAACTTTTATTTAATCACTTCTCTTCATTTCATAAAAAAAAAACTCTTTTTTAAAGCAAAAGCTATTGTAAATAGACCCTAAAGCAAATACGGCAGACACATAGCACCCTCTAAACTAACAAACCAAACGGAATGTTTCAACAATACTCAGCTGTCGGATTAAAGTAGCTTAACTCCTCCACCTTCCTTTGTCACCTCCTCCCTTGGAGTAACTGCTTCCGCCATATGCTCCACCACCACTGCTGCCATAGCTTCGTTCACGTCCACCTCTGTAACCTCTGCCACTGGCACCTCCATAATCACGATCACGACTCCCGCCGCCTCTGTAGCCACTTCCGCTACCCTCACGGCGACCGTCTCTATACCTTTTACCTCCGCCACCGTCACGACGTCCACCACCGTAGTCTCTGCAGGAAAATGATAGTTTAGTCTATTGTTTTTTAAATGTTTTATGTTGTTTGCCCTTTTGCAGGGCTGTCTAATAAATTTGAAGGTCCTGGTTTCAATTGCTAAATTGGGGCCCCATATATGAATAAAAATAAAAATCAGAAATTCACATAGTTCACCAAAATTAATTGTGTTCAACAGTTCGTATACAAAAAAAGTGATTGAAAATTACTAATATCAATATTATATAATAATAACTATATTTTTTACTTTCCCTTTTATTACTGCCATTTATACAATAATAATAACTACTTCGTATATTGTAATAGTAATATTGAAAAAAAAAAATTAGGGCTCCCAATTTCGGTGGGCCCTGTTCTAGAGAACCTAATTAACTTGCTAAACAACGGCCCTGCCCTTTTAAGAAATTTTTGTTGGATAGGAATACACTTTTAATAAAATGAATAAAATTTACTTTGCTAGTGTTATTATATTTATTTTTTTAGTCCAATTTAAATCAATCTCAGGGACCAAGATTCAAGTAAGATTACACCATCCAATTTTGCTCCTCTCCATTAACTGGAAATCTTCATTAGGAGAGAGATAGAGAGAGGTGGAGAAATGGTGGGGTAGAGAAAATAAATTATTATTTTGAATTATTTTTTTTTTGAAGAGAGATGGAATGAAAAAGAAATGGAGAGTAAATGGAGAGAAGGAAATGAAGAGGAGCATGACCCCACACCATCATGATATCAGAGATTGAATTTATAAATAACAAAATGAATTCTAAACAGTTTATTACAGAACATCAAAAACATTTTAAATCAACTCCTTTGACAGCTCTCCTGAACATAGTCACTCTTCAAGCCCCGCCCCACTCACAGTGACTTTGCAAGCAGACATCCAAAGTGACCTCATAGATTCTTACTTTTATAAGTATTTCATAGTTTTTACTATTTTTGTTCGATTCATGTATACCTTTTAATGGGGTTTATGTAATTGCATTTAATTTTTGATAAATATGAAGTTCATTCCTAAGTTTTTAATTTTCTTGTGTCAATTAACTGTTTGTAAAATTGTGTCAATGATTTTTTCAAATGATTTTGTTTACATAGAGTCATGATGATTTGAAACTTGTTTCTAATCGATTTATGTACAGTTCTCTATGGGGTTTGTGTAATTGCCTTTAAATTGTGATAAACATTAGGAGTTTCAGTCCTAAGTTTTTAGTTTTCTTAAGTCTATTAACTGTTTGTAAAAATGTCTCAATGACATTTTGAAATGAATTTATTTACACAAGAGTGATGATGTTTTCAAACATTTATTTATTTATTTATTTATTTATTTATTTATTTATTTATTTATTTATTTATTTATTTATTTATTTATTAATTTATTTATTTAGTTCGGGTCTCCTCAGTCCTACAAGCTTGTTCGTAAACAAAGGCTCCCCTCTACAGCATCACATTTGAAACACAGAATGTAACTAACCACCTTTTAGTTTTAGATTTGCTTCCTGTCCTTTTTAGATGAAAGGCATGTTTAGGTCGCATAAATAGTTTGGGAAATGAAAATAATGTTATGGAAAACTATTTTTCTTATGTTCAGCTGTGCCTGGGAAAATTCAAAGGAAAAAGAATGACAGTTAATTTCTATTTTTCAATGTATTTAGATATCTTAGTTTTTTATGTGATAGATGATGGAAATGAAGGATTAAAACATAATTTCAGGTGATAGTGTTGCCCTTGACATTAGTGATACTTCAGAAGATAATATGTTAGTGGGCCAAACACTTAAGCTGGACGGGATAACTCAGTTTCACGAAGAGCTAAAACAAGGAAAAAGTGAAGATGCTAATAAAAGTATGGAGTTTGTTCCGAAGTATATCAGTGATCAAAGTAATTTTTTTAAGAAATTAAAAGCAGTGTTTTACTTTTTCTTCTGTTTTTGTGTCACCAAGAGCTCATCATGTAAAACATTTGAGCATATGTTCTTGTTAGAAGTCCAGGAAGTGTCCTTAAGCTGGAGATGATATCAGGCTCTTCTTGTGGCCTTCCGCATACAGTACAGTCAAGTAACTGAGTAACACATCCAAGCTTCCACTTAGTCTCGGAAGAGTAGGGCCCAGTGATATCCTTTTGAAGGACTCAGAAGTTTCTGGAAAACATGCGCTAATAAGGTTACTATAAGAGCTGTTGCTAAATATATGACTCTGCGTTTCCTTGCTGCGTTTTTCTCCTAAATTTTAATGTTAGTTATGGTGATTCTGAATAGTTTTTGTTTTCTTGCTGCATTTTTCTCATTTTGGTTTTTAGCCCCCTGGTTAAGTATTAACCATCATTGCTTTCTTTTACTTTCTCTGAATTTCTTTGCTTTTAAGAATCTTACGTACTCCTTCGAACTCTATGTGTAAGTTTCAATCCTTAATGGTATGTTCATGAGAGGTGGACCAGGTGCTAGTGTAAACGGAAGGTTCCGATTTGCTCCTGAGAAAACGGTATGACCCCCATCAAATTTTATTAGTTCAGACGAATTACCTTCTTGTAGCCCATGCATTTTCATTAGATTATTGTTTTTTGGCCTCTGAAAAGATTTAAGACAGTGTTGCTTGTGATACAAATTGTAACTGAATAATTGATTTGGCAAAAGATACCTAAAAGCTGACCAATAAAGTAGGAAGCTGGAAGATGTTGAGAAGGAATTAGCTATAGTAGAAGGGATTTTGCAACTCTGGTTCAGATCAATTTAATCTCTCCTTTCTTAAATTTATAAGATTATATTGTCTATTGAGAAGGTATGCTTTTTTAACTCCATCTTTGTCCTCTTCAGCAGGAGAATATCTTAGGATTCTTAGTCTGACTGGTTCTAGGTTGGATGGTGCTGGCATGGTTGCAAGTGTTCTAGCTACTCATTTTGTCCTTTCAGAGGTAGGCAATTAGAAATTCTGTATTACCCACATTTGAATAAATTTTATCTAAACAATATCTCAAATGGTTAATACATTTAGCCTTTGAGTTCTAGTTTGTTAGACTATCAAGTTTACCTTATTAAAGAGAGTTTGTTTAGTCTTGTATTTGGAACCAATTGTTTTTCAAATAAAAGTTAGCTGCACATCTCATACGAACTAATACGTTCTTATTAACATATCCCTGCAGCTTATGTGGTATGAGTAGTGTATGACACATGCTCTTGAGTTACAGTGGGCATTGTAGCTTATGTTATATTACACTTGCTCTTGAATAACTCTGCAGCTTATGTGGTATTACACTTTTAGTTAAGTTCCTTTTGAGTATTTGTGGGCATTACACTTGCCCATCTCTTTGAATTATGACTTTATAACACTTTTTTTGCTTGTTATCCAGAGGCTGTGAGACTGTCATCCCTGGAAGAAGCATTACATAATCGCAATTCATGTGACACAGAAATAATTTTAATTTCTGCAATCAGTAAGTTCATCCTTCACACGCAAAACACTTTCTGTACAAATATGGGTTACTTACCGACCAAATTAAAAGGGCTTAATTGAACGTTTTTTAATAGTTCGATGACCTAATTGAGTGTTTGTAAAGTACGAGGGCCTAATCGACTTTTTCGGCATGGTACGGGGTTTATTTAATATTTTTCCCTATAAATAAATATAATTGAAATTGCTTAAAAAGGAATAAAACATATGAAAAGTAGTTCTGAAGTAGAACTAATTTAAGTATTTTTTTCTTCCTAAGACAGAACTAATTATTTAGTCATATTAAAATATTGAAATAAAAACATCCCTAAACAAGATTGAACAGGTCTTATTTGAGAAATTTCGCATTGCCCTACTTCTATTTTTAGATCAATGCGAAGTTCTGCAAATCTACAATAGTCATTAGCCAAATGAAAATATGATTACATACACAGTGATACTAAACATTTAGATTATAAAATAGATCGAATTGCATTGAACAGAAAAAGTAAAACTGAAACATTATCAAAGTATATATTGGTGCTGTAATTAACGTACGTACTTGGTCAACCATTGTGGTGATGCAAAGCTTTCAACAAAGAAACATGGACCAAGCGTGTGCTCTCCATTAGGCGCAAGATCCTCCTTTATAATTGCTTTGCCTTCTCCCGCCAACGGATCATAAACATATGCTGTTTCATGATCATAACCACACCTAATGAACAATACTTTCGCACTATCTTCGGGAGAAAAGAAATTGAAGCCATAGAAATCAAGTCTCTCTAATATGGACATAGAAATGTGAAATAGTCTAAACCATGATTCTCCTCTCCCGTATTCTCTCATAATCAACACTTGAATGGTTTGCATCTTGTTATCCCTTCGAGCCATACATAAACAATTCTTCATAATTCCCAACCCGACTATCGAGTCTTCTTCTTCGGGGTTGCACGGGGAAGGAGAGGGCAATGTTTTGAACTCATCTTTTCGGGGATCAAAAAATGTAATCTTATTGCACTCGGAAAAGTCTTCCCAAACCCAACCCTTAAGAGGACAATGATTAGCATAATCCTCATCGCTATCATCATGTTCGAAGTCTCGGGGACGCTTGACGTCACTTACCAACCAATGGAGTCTATTGTGGAAGTTAACGCCATCCCCGGCTGTTCGTAAGTTATACGGGAAACTCGCCTCTGTCCACGTTTTGGTTCTCATGCTGGCAAAAGTAACAAACCTGCGGCCATACCCACAATCCGCGCTAAAATGACGAAGTAAAAGGACAACTTTGTAGTCATCAGTAGTGGCGTTGTAAGACATCCCCGCAAGAACACTGTAGTCTCCATCCTTGAGATACCTATGACGAAGCACATCCCAACGCCACCCAGAAAGTGGGTTCCACAACCAAAAATGTGTTCCAGCCATGACAAGCACAAGCCCATTGCAAGAGCACAAAATGGATGGGTCGGGGAACAGCCGGGGCTCCTTGAGGGAGGATCTCCATTGAAGGCGAAGGTCGTGGTTTATCGACTTCACGGTTAATCTGATTCCCGAGGGGCAGCTTGGGTACACGACGAGGAGGCGGAGTTTGCCGACGTGGGTGCGCTTTATGTGGGTAATGAAGGAGTGCCAGTCTTTGCTCACGCTCTGGGATCGCAACAGATACTTCGCCGGCAACCTGAGGAATATGTCTCGGTTGATCTCTGGGGGTACAACTTGCAGCGGGTTTTTCCTGTTATCTGTGCTGGGCACTGTACGAGCACGTAGCATAGTTAATTCACCAATGTACGTACGCTAGGGAGTACTACTTCGTGTAAATCTTCCGTTTTCCTCTGTTCTTTTGACAAAGTGATATGGGTACCAAAATTATGACGGCGTCGCAGAACGCTCAATTATTGCGTCAAAACGGACAGAAACCCAATTTGCTAAATGGGCTCGGAAGCTTAAGAGAGAAACATACGGGGCAAATAACATGCCATTGATGACAAAATTTCCATATATAATTACTCACAAAACTAATAATCATATCCGGAAAATGTTCATGACCTAAGAATTCAAATTCTTAGGCCTCTTTCATTTGAGGTGCTTCCGAGACATATTTTTTTATGCAATTTTGTAAGCATGTTTTCCATGAAGTGTTGACTATGCCCACCAAATTTCAGAATAAAATTCAATCGGTAAGTCGGTTAAATAATTTTTTCAAAATTGTGCAGGTTTTTACATATATAAAATGCAGTTATTTTTCAATAATTTATTTAAATGACTTCCTGATAGAATTTTTTTGTGAAACTTGGTGGATATAATCTTCAATCTATGGAGTACATGCTCAAAAATTTTCATCAAAAAAATCGACCCAGAAACACCTCAAATGAAAGAGGCCTAAGAATTACAATTCTTAGGCCCACCTTACCTTAACATTGTTAGGATTATTAAGGGATCAAATTAGTGACATGGCAGATTTTTGTAGAGAAGTATCATTGGGAGACATTGATTATTTAATGAGATTATTTGTTAGAATAATCCGGGATCAAAATATGAATCTGGATTATCTTAAAATTATTTGAAAAGTATGTGTAATACGTTAATGTCGGACGGAGAAAAAAGCAGATTATTTGAAGACGATGGTTGGGTGGAATAAATGGATTTTGAGATTATTTAAAAATTATTTATGTAAGAATAATTAAAATGTTGGAGATTTATTGGAAATAAAGCTCAATTATTAATTTACATGGTCCTTAATCATTTTATAAATAATGTGATTTATTAAAATGATTTATTTAATATAATGATTATTATTATTTATTTTATTAAAGCACTTGTGCACGTGTGGTTTCATAACAAACAATAATAATTTAATATATTTGCACTTTTGTGGATGCATGCGTACTGCAACCTTTTTGAAGGTATGGCAAATTCGATGTTTTATATTAAATTCAATACAGATCCTTTTTGTGGATAAATGGAACGAAAGGACATTTATATAAGCGGACGTGTTCTTTTAGAACAGCCACTTCGGTTACATTTCGTTGGAAGCAATTTGCCGTTCAAGAAAAGGTGTTATTCGGTTGCTTCTGAGAAGTGTCCTTTTACACAATTGCCTTTCACTTATAAAATAAGAAGAGGACCATGTTGAACAGTTACGGATGTAAAAAAAAAATCAAAATTTCAGTCTTTCTCTTGCCTTACTAAATACTAATATCTGCAGCGTTAGTATTAAAGTGTTTAGACCACTTTATATACATATCACTTATTTAGTGTTATTTTGTCAGTAGCCAAAATACACTGTACATCTTCTTTTTATCCCAAAAGTTCTATCTTGTAACCCGGTTACTGTGATAAGAGTAGATAGTAAACTTTTAGGAAAGCGTATTTAATACGTGACTAGAAGTGATATCCGGTCCAACCATATTTACACCCTTATTTTACTATATTTTTATCCTCCGGTTCTAACAATATTATCTAACAATCTAAAAGTTTACTATTCCGAAATCATGGCCGCTACTCAACGTGATATCAACACCAATTTTCAAAAATTGGAAAAGTTTGAAGGTGTGGAATTTCGAAGGTGGCTGAAAAAGATGCATTTTCTGCTCACCACTTTGAAAGTGGTCTATGTGTTAAGCACCCCGAGGCAGCCCGAGGAAGATGAAAACGAGACTTTGGAGACAAGCCGGCACCGCATAAAGTGGGACAATGACGACTACATTTGTCGTGGGCACATTTTGAACGGTATGTGTGATTCACTATTTGACGTGTATCAAAATGTTGAATATGCTAAAACGTTGTGGGATTCACTAGAATCTAAGTACATGACCGAGGATGCTTCAAGTAAGAAATTTCTCATTAGTAACTTTAATAGTTACAAAATGGTGGATTCTCGGCCGGTCATGGAACAATTCCATGAAATTCAACGTTTATTATACGATCAACTTTTGATTCACAACATGCATGTAAATGAAACCTTTGCGGTCGGTTCTATAATCGACAAATTACCACCTTCATGGAAGGAAGTGAAAAATAGCCTCAAACGCAAAAAGGAGGATTTGTCAATGGAGCAACTTGGACGCCGACTTCAAATTGAAGAAGGCATTAAGTTGCGTGAAGGTGACAATGGTAAAAAAAATGTTAGAACTTTTATTGTGAGTCAAGTTTGTCTGTAATGTCTTGTTTAATAAAGTAGACTAGTTATATCATTTATGGTATTAGATTAGTAATGATTTTGTAATAAATAGGTTAAAGGGAATAAGGCCCAAAAAGGCCTTGGCCCAACTTCCAAGGTTTACCTAAATCGGTAACCTGTACAGCGCCTATAAATATGCGCCTTGTGTACAGGTGCCGATATCGATCAATATACCTTAGCCTTACGCTGCCAAATTTCTTCTCGATACAACAGAAAGAATGTTTCTATGTTCTCGATAACCTCTAATATCATTCTGTGAAATCTTTCTTCTCTGTTTATCAATGATATCCAACCCTTTTCTCGATACTAAACCTCGAGAAAATGGTTCTCGATGATTAAATCTCGAAAAGGACTTTTCGATACTCCCATATCGAGAACCAAGTTCTCGGTATCTGAGTATCGAGAAGAGCTTCTCGGTATTTAATCATCGAGAACCTACTTCTCGATACTCAAACCTCGAGAAGATGGTTCTCGCAGTTGATACTTAGAATATTTTTCTTGGTTCCACCTATTCACACCTGATCAGAAAATTGCAAAAACAGAACAAAATAGTCAAAAACAAACAAAAATAAAGGTTTCAATTGAACAATGTGCTGACCCAATTCTTTCAGTTAACAATGTCAGGAACAGACAAGAATGCACAACTAAGCAATGAAGTGTACCCATAAGAGAAATGGGTCTTAATCTTTGACAACAACTTCCAACTGGACCTGAAGCTCTTCAAGTGCCAGGACCCAATCATTCTGTCCATTCTCAAAGGACACTATCTCTGGACTGCGTTCAATGAAGCAAAGCCAGTACCAGAGGTATACTTACAATAGTTTTGGGGCTTGATGAAGACACCTAATGAAAAAGATCGCTCCAAGATCATGACAAGATTGAACGATGTGAGAGTGGTGCTGACACCCTCCACAATCAGGGAGACGCTAAAGCTCCCGGTGCTCAAGAACTATGAACCACTCCCCTCAAACGAAGAGCTGATAAAGGGGATGAAAGATCTTGGATACGACAGCCCACTGCCCCTACTGTCAAATTTCACAATCTCCAACCTGCCTCACCCGTGGAAGAGTCTGTTCGGCCTGGTAAACAAGTGCCTATCACCAAAGCACGCCGGACATGATAAGTGCAACAAACAGATCCTGCAAATCTTCCATGGGATCGCATTTGACAAGCAGTATGACATGGCCCAGCTCTTCTGGACAGAGCTGATGGATCAAGTGAAGATGAAAGGAAACAAAGGCAGCACCATTCCTTACGCTCGGTGGATGGCACTGATGATCCACAACATGATGGACGCCACACCTTCAATCCCTAAGCGTAAGGAAGACAAGCACTTCACTGCTCCCAAGCTCAAGTACTTTCAGAAGGACAAGAATACGTCTGAAGCACTGCCTATCCTGGACTCCCTGCTTAATCTTGCAAACCCAAGGGATAAGGCAGTCACTGACTACAAAGAGTCGTTGAAGAGAACAGTTCCTATGGTTCAGCAAAACCCAGCTGGACCTTCCCAGGGAACTAAGCCAAGTGAGGGTAAGAAAAAGAAGAGTGCCCCCACGCCACAGAAACCAGTGGCAGTCCGGCCTAATGATGATCAGTCTGCTAACTCTTCTGAGAGGACCCAGACTGCTGAGGGTACCAATGCTGAGGACACTGCCGATGAACCATCAAGCCAGCCCCTTTCTAATAAGGCTGGTGGTGAGGCCTCCAATAGCATGGCCAAAGGAAATGAGCAAAGAGATGATGATGATGATGATGATGATGCAGATGATGATGATGACATGGAGGGAGTTCTGATTAGTAACAGAAGAAGAGCTGGCAAACAGGCCATTCCGATCGACTCCGACTCCTCATCGGACGATATAGAGGCTGCTCTCACACCCCGACCGCTCAAAGGCATTATCATAAGTGAGCAGCGCTCCAAGCAGAGAAGCGATAAATCTGCATCATCCAAGCCTAAGAAGAGGCTGAGAAAGAAAAGTGCAGTGGAAGAGGAGCTGGCACTTTACGATGACTTTGACACCTTCCTCACCATAGACCGAACTACGCCCCTAGGAGCAGGAGCTGACCTTGTCAGTTCCCGGGTAGAAGCCGCAGCATCTGGTTCAACTGCGTATGTACAGCCATCTCCCTACCACTCTCCAGCCTCCCAACAGGCTGGAGTTTCAATAACTCAAGAGGAACTTTTACCGACCTCACCGGTTCCCTCCGAATCAGTTGAGAGACTTAGTGGTCAACAGCCCCGAACCACTACCCCTATCTGTTCTATCACATCGAGTCTAGGTGTCACCATTCCTACATTTTTAAATTTTTCTAGGACACCTACACTTTTCACAGCACATACATGTGCACTCACCCTGAACGCAACGACCGGAGTGTAAACTATGATGGTCGGAAGCCCTGCTACGCCAACAATGCCTCGATCATTGAACGCAGGCCACACATCAGCTATCTTCACTGATGCTGTGACAACAGTTACAACCCCTGTAACTGGAACCATTATCCCCGAAGATCTTCTCGTACACTTGAACAGCTTTCTAGAGTCTACCATTAAACCATGGGTGCATAACACAATAACCGCTAGTGCACAAGGCTCTGGAAGCACCCAAGCTGCTCAAGATGTACCCACTGAAACCCAAACAACACAACCCCCAATCATTTCCATTCCTATCTCCAAACCT